GGCTCCCCCGTCTCCCTGGGCTGGGCATGCTGTGACAGGCTGTCTCTGTCTCTTGCAGGGGTGCTTGGTGGCAAGGAGAAGGCGGCACTGGCCGGGAAGGTGCCAGACAGCAGCTCCGAGTGGCTGAAGCAGTTTGATGCGGTGCTGCCGGGGTACAGCCTCAAGGGCGAGCTGGACCTCCTGACGCTGCTCAGACAGGTTAGTGGGGTGTGGGGGTCCCCCCGGGGCTGTAACCCTGGGAGAGGGGTACTGGGGTACCTGTAAGGCTGTGGCTATGTGGGGTGCAGGAGCGGGCCCTTCGGGACCAAGTGTGACCATGTGGAGAGGTACATGGGGGTCCCTGTAGGTACCCCCATGATTGTAGGGTTCTGCAGGGGGGTTTCTGAGGGACCAGGCTCCTCCGTGGTGTTGAGTCTTCCAGGACTGCCTGGAAGGGGTTGGGGGGAGGTCCTTGCTGGTCTGGGAGGGTGGTGGGGTGCATTAGGGTCCCTGTAGATCCAAGGACCCTTCACCGTGATGCGCAGGGAGGTTGGGGGTCCCCATCCCTATCCCTGGGATGCTCTGACCCGTGTCCCCCCTCCCCATGCCGTAGGAGAGCCCTGTGCCCGAGAAGACCCTGCACCACTGTTACGTCAACAACGTCTCCAACCTGGATGTGCGGCAGCTCTCCGTCATGCCCCAGGAACCCTCACCCCCCCTGTCCCCCTCTGTCCCTTCCCCATCCAGCCCTGCTGAGGCTGCCAGGGTCCCTGACCCCGAGGCAGCCCACGAGGCAGCCCCAGCCCCCCTGTCACCCCTGCCGCCGGCCCCCTCACCAGCCCCCCAGGAGGAAGGGGCCACGGCCCCCCACTCACCACCCCGCTTCAAGCCGCGTTCACGGCCGCCGGAGGACGGGGACGAAGCACGGCCCCGGCTGAAGAAGTGGAAGGGAGTGCGGTGGAAACGGCTGCGCTTCCTCGTCACCATCCAGAAAGGGGGGGCCAAGCGGGATGGTGACAAGGAGATCGCGGAGTTCATCGACAAGCTCGGCACCACCCTGCGCCCCGAAAAGGTGCCCCGGGACCTGCGCAAGTGCTGCTTCTGCCACGAGGAGGGTGACGGGGCCACGGACGGGCCAGCCCGCCTGCTCAACCTTGACCTCGATCTCTGGGTCCACCTGAACTGCGCCCTGTGGTCCACAGAGGTCTATGAGACTCAGGGGGGGGCCCTGATCAATGTGGAGGTGGCCCTGCACCGTGGGCTGCTCACCAAGTGCTCCCTATGCCAGAAAACCGGCGCCACCAACAGCTGCAACCGCATCCGCTGCCCCAGCGTCTACCACTTCGCCTGCGCCATCCGCGCCAAGTGCATGTTCTTCAAGGACAAGACCATGCTGTGCCCCTTGCACAAGCTGAAGGGCCCCTGCGAGCAGGAGCTGAGCAGCTTCACCGTCTTCCGACGCGTCTACATCGAACGGGATGAGGTGAAGCAGATCGCCAGCATCATCCAGCGTGGCGAGCGGCTCCACATGTTCCGCGTGGGAGGGCTGGTCTTCCATGCCATCGGGCAGCTCCTGCCGCACCAGATGGCCGACTTCCACAGTGTCACGGCCCTCTACCCCGTGGGCTACGAGGCCACGCGTATCTACTGGAGCCTGCGGACCAACAACCGCCGCTGCTGCTACCGCTGCACCATCTGCGAGAACAACGGCCGCCCCGAGTTTGTCGTGCAAGTCATCGAGCAGGGCCTGGAGGATCTGGTCTTCTCTGATTCCTCGCCGCAAGGTAAGGCGCAATCAGGAGCTGCAGGTGTCAGGCCGCTGCTTTCCTCCATCCCCTGTCCTGCTGATGGCCGAGCTGCACCAGGACAGGGTGGTCAGCGCGACGGGAGATTCCGGGGTGGCTTGAACTGGCGGGGTCTGCACTGGGGGTCAGCTTGGCAGCTCGGAGCAGGTCCTTGGCTCCAACCCTCCCTTCTCTCTGCAGCTGTCTGGAACCGGATCATCGAGCCAGTGGCGATGATGAGGAAGGAAGCTGACATGCTGCGACTCTTCCCCGAGTACCTGAAGGGCGAGGAGCTCTTTGGCCTCACGGTGCATGCAGTGCTGCGCATCGCCGAGTCGGTAGGTCTTGGGGACGGGTCTCTTCTTCACACCGGGGGTCAACCCCGCTGGGACAGGGACCAGTGGCTGTGCTGGTGGGGCCGGGGCAGCCACGGTGCTGCTGCTCAACCTATGGCCCCTCGGCTCCCTCCTCGGCAGCTGCCCGGCGTCGAGAGCTGCCAGAACTACCTGTTCCGCTACGGTCGCCATCCGCTGATGGAGCTGCCGCTGATGATCAACCCCACTGGGTGTGCCCGCTCCGAGCCCAAGATCCTCACCCACTACAAGCGGTAAGCGGGGCTGGGATCCACCGGGAGAGCCAGGATCCCTGGGGATCCCTCAGCTCTGACCCCATCTTGCCCTCCCCCTCCGCTGGCAGGCCCCACACCCTGAACAGCACAAGCATGTCCAAGGCCTACCAGAGCACGTTCACGGGTGAGACCAACACGCCCTACAGCAAACAGTTTGTGCACTCCAAGTCCTCCCAGTACCGGCGCCTGAAGACGGAATGGAAGAACAACGTATACCTGGCGCGGTCCCGCATCCAGGGGCTGGGGCTCTACGCGGCCAAGGACATCGAGAAGCACACCATGGTCATTGAGTACATTGGCACCATCATCCGCAACGAGGTGGCTAACCGGCGGGAGAAGATCTATGAGGAGCAGGTGGGGCTCCAGTGGGACATTGGGGGCTCTGGTGGGATGAGGGGGGGGCTCGGTGCAGCCACTGACACCCTCTTCTGCCCCCAGAACCGTGGCATCTACATGTTCCGCATCAACAACGAGCACGTCATTGACGCCACGCTGACAGGGGGCCCAGCCAGGTGAGCACGGGGGGATTTGGGGTGGTGGGACCTCCCCAGAGGGAGCGGCGACAGTCTACCTGTCCTGCCCCCCTCCCTCCCGGGTGGGCGCTGACCCCCACACTTCTCTGCCCCCGCCGCCCAGGTATATCAACCATTCGTGTGCCCCGAACTGCGTGGCCGAAGTCGTGACCTTTGACAAGGAGGACAAGATCATCATTATCTCCAGCCGGCGCATCCCCAAGGGGGAGGAGGTCAGGCGGGGGGGCACAGGGCAGCTGTGGAGGGGCTGGGGGGGGCCGGGGGCGGCAGGGCCAGGCTCCGTGCTGTGCCGTGCCGTGGGTGACTCCCTGCTCCCCCCCCAGCTCACCTACGACTACCAGTTCGACTTCGAGGACGATCAGCACAAGATCCCCTGCCACTGTGGAGCCTGGAACTGCCGAAAGTGGATGAACTAGCTGGGGAAAAAAGGGGCTGGGGGCCATGGCCCCCGCCTCGGAGACCTCGCCAAGACCCGCCGGGGCTGCGGGAGGTGCCAGGGCGGCCGGGCAGGCG